TTTTCTTTCTTTATTTAATAATTGATGTATAATTACAATACATTATTATGATACATAATAATAATGATAATGATACTATCAATTATTAAATTATAATAATATAATATAGTTTAGAATAATATATAATATAACATTGTAATATCATTATTAATATGTATAATATTATTTAATATAATAATTAATGATTAATGATTAATCTTTTAAATAATATATATTTATTTATATAGTAATTTAATGATTTATTTAAATTTTTAAGATATTTACATTAATAATTTATGATAATTTATTTGTAGTAATTATCAAGAATTAAGTTATAATATTTTATAATATAGAATCCTCCTAGTTAACATTGTTTGGTGAATAAGTTAAGAATTCAGTAAGCTAACATTCAAAGTGTAACTCACTGTAATTTGAATTTTAGTAATATCTAATGTAAAACGTAAAATACTTATATGAATGATTTAAAACAGAAACATAAAGAAGTTAATATAAAAAGATAAAACACTTATGAGAAGATACTTTAAAATAATTAAGAAACTAATTTTCAGGAAAACAGATTTAAAATAAAAAACATTTAACCTACATTTAATCTAGTCTACTTTTAACTTAATAACTGATTTCAACACTATTCTGAACGGTTCATTTCAATTCATGTTAATTATACGATGTTTAAATCAAATTTGACGAATTTATTTTGTACTGGATTTTAACATTTAGTTTACTTGTAGGTCAATTTCATTGAAATCCTTTTTTGTTAAGTTTTAAAGTACTTGTATTCAGTATCAGTGCTTAATGATAGTTTGAATGAATTACAAAATTTTGCCACTGTCAAGAATCGGAAGTGTATTTTACTCGTGATAAAATATCTGATCTTGATATGCTACATAATAATTATTACTTTATGTCATCGTATTTCATTTTGGAAATGGTTCATCAATTATTGTAGCTTATTAAGATAAATACAGTGTCAGTTGCGATAACTCTGAGAAATATTTGGTATCAAATTCAACGCGGAGGCTGCGTGTGACAGACGATTTACGTATCATGAAACGCCGCGGGTAGGAAAGATGATTTCTATCAATTAGGGACACGCGCCGGAATCAATTACCTACCTCTTGATGATTTAGAAGATTATTGGGCACTTGCTGACTAAATTTCAACCTCGTATCTCATAGATTAAATTTTTCGCTACTGTTACTTGTAATTCCAAATTAGTTATTAGTTAATTTCATTTGAATATACTTTAGTACAAAAAAATTAAATACTGAATATATTTCACAGAACAGATGCCATGTGCATAATGAATTTAAATATAAAATGTTTATTAGTTTTTGAAACATCTTCCCTTCATTTTATTATTGGAATAAACAAAAACACATAAAATTGTATTTTGATTATTTTTTAGCAAATTAATGAAAATTGTACCACTTATTAATGAATATATCGTGTATAAGGGTTGTATTAGTTTGAGTAATAAGTAAAAGTTATTGCTCGGATGCTATAATATATTTATAAGTTGATTAACATTTAACTGGAAAAACGACGGAAAATGTACTGTTGTTCAAGATATTAAAATAAATGTTTTTTTTGCACACTAGTTTAAATTAGCGATTACGTTGTTAAAAAACACTAATTTTATTAATTTACGTTTTATTAATTTTCTCTAATAGTTTTCGAAGTATAGGATTAGATTTTACAACCCCCACTTGGAGGGTGGTCTTTACCTCTTTAATGTAAGCAATACCAAATAAAAAGGTATGTTATATATTTTTATAAGAACTAGATTATACTTAAATTTTATCAACTTGGTAATTAGCACTTCGAAATACACCCTTGTCATCTAGTTTCAATATTAATTTCAGTTTCTGAGGGATGAAAACTATATGCAATCTGCTTTCTATTGAATTTATTAATTTTATTAGACATTAACATACTAAAATAAATAAAATAAATACGAATTTAGGTTTTGGCAGAAAGTTTTACTGAAACATGATTCGAACTGTAAGAAAATAAATAAAGTAATAATACTTTGAATAAACTGTAATTGTGACTGTTTGTCAACATTGATGTTTAGATTGTTTCGCGTTCGAGGATAATTTCATTGTTCATGAGCAAAGAATCACTCTATTATTGAATTTCAAGGTCACTTTAATTACTTGAGTACGCAGTGTCTTGGGAACGATTTTACGGCGACGCCAGACACACGGGCAAAATGTTCGTCGCCGTTTTGTAAACAATTGAGCTTTTATCGTTGATGAGAAAAGTTCCGGTGTGGATCGTTTTCGTTCACGAGGACAGTTTATTTCTGACCTGTGTTTATATTGTTATTATCAATAACTTTGTTCGTAAACTGCATCCTAAAATTACGAACTTAAATTTGATATACAACAGAATTGGGAAAAATGATTTCATACTTATAGTGTCATAAAGTTATCTAAATTTAAAATCAAATAAGGAATTTATTAATTTCTATCGTTCTATTGTGAGTAATTCGAGATTTATGGGAAAGGACGACACAGACGATTCATCGATGTATTAATAGGAGATCCAGGAATTGTCGTTAAGTGTGAATCATTCCGTAATAAATCACTTATTTCTTTATTTTAAGAGAATAAATTCTGTTAAAATGAGTAACATTCATCGCACTGTGTGAATTTTTGAAGTAAATTAATAATGGAAATAAAATATGGTAAAAGATTCGGACTTTTCTTTTTGCAGTATAACTTCAAAATAATTTCATCAGTATTCATTATTTTTAATTGTCTTATTTGATAAAAAACTAATTAATATATTAAATGTATAATCTTACAGTAGTTTTATCGCACTATAAATATTATCGTATTGTAACTGATATAGTGAGAAAAAAGAAAAGAACGTTTGATTCCCTTTGATTTTAAAAAATTTATCCAAGAATTATACATTTTACTAAAGAAAAATGCAATTACACTTAAGAAGATTATTTTCTTTTAAAAAACTAACAAATAATACACTGATTAATTATTATATCACTCAGAATATTTACAGTATTTTACCAGGTTATTGTTAGTCATTATCTATCCCGTTATTTATTAGTCCCGTTAGTTAGTTTTTATCTAATTATCAGCACACATCTGCAAAACAAATAAAACTAGCCCGCAATTTCATATCGAAAAATCAAGAACTCGCCCTCGATTAGAGGATTTAAAGGTACATTCGCGTCCATACTTAACCATTCGAGTGCCAAGGCGCGATATATCGTTCCCTCATACACTTGCGAAAAGTTTCTTTCTGATTTTATTAGTAATAACAGAGGTCTAACATGTATTCTAATATTGTATAAAAATTGTATAAACTTTAGATCAAAATTGACTGAAATATAAATTTTTATTCATAATCACGCATCTTCGTTTAAAATTGTCCGGCATTTCTCGAATATGTATCAAAATTTCTCCTGGCACTCAAAGTGTTAAAGGTTGAATCAAATGATTTGACTTGATTAATTTCTTTAAAAAATCGAATGATTTAAATGGTAAAATCGATCAGGTGAGAAATGACGTGACGATAATATCAGGATTCATTAGACCTTTGGTATCCTGTGTCGATCGTACGATTTCGCGGGATCCGGAAGACAGCATGCAGGTGGAAGGATGTAAGGTTACGGAAGGTGATACGAGGTTTAACGAGTGGGAGATGGGGCGGACAGGAAGCTCGGATGGCAAGGAGAGGATGGAGGAAGTTACGAAGCCGGAATGCTACGAGATCCTTGCCAGTCGCGCGCTAACCACGGCCACAAGCGGGACCTTCTCGCGTCGATTCAGCTCGATCGTCTTTCCCCTAGATCGTTTTCTTGGTGCCCTTGTGTTTCTCCATAATCTGACGTCTTAGTTACGATTTTTCTAAACGTTCAGTGATCGTTAAAGTTTCTTCGAAACTGCACGGTTCATCGTTCGGGCGGTACTTGACATATCGATTTGGGAGAAGCATCGGGTAACTGTGCATGGTAAGTAGACGGAGATATGATATTAATACTAGGACTGCCGACTGTTTAATAAAGAAAATACTGATTTTATTAATTTACACAATTTTCACTAATAGTTTTCAAAGTAAGAAATACGTTTTACAACCCTAACTTTAAGGGTAGCATTTACGTCTTTAACATAGACAACAGAAAATAAAAGAATGTGTTGTATGTTTTGATTGCCGGCTAGATTATACTTAATACGATTAATATGCAAACTGTATAAAAGTTGTAACAATAGATTATAGTAATCAAGTGAAACTGTTTATTTTTCGAAGCATTTCGGATATTTAATACGTTTTAGGATGTCGTACTTAAAAACACGTATTTATCTGGTACTTACGTTTAAATAAATATGTATGTAAAATATTGTTTGCGAGATGATTAAAAATGTTTTGTGACAATAATCGAAAGTAAAAGTTTGGCTTTAGGTCAAATTGATTTGAATAGTGTATACGAATGAAAGGTCTTCGTCATTTCGAAATCGTCTACGTGTGTTTATGTGAAAAGTATAATGAACTGAAAATTTCTAGTGTGTTTAATAATGTTTTTATTTTAATTTTAATTCGACAGATTTTTTAGAAGATAAAAATGTAAAATATTTTATCCATTTCTTAATTAATTGTATTGTACCTGACAGTCAACAACTCATTTAAAAATGATTATAAATTTTTAGTGTTAATTGAATGATTTCTTCTATCTCTGATACTTTATACCATGTTTCAAAATATATTCGATTTAATTAACAAATTTAATATCATTCAAATAATCGTTCATTCATACTAATTCAACAGAATTGTTATTATGGTATAACGCAGTATTTAAATTAATTGTTGCTACAGAAATGATACTCAGTTGATTCATTCATATTTATCCACCACTATGTCAAGCACAATAAAATAAAAATTCTATTGAATATTCAATAAATATTTTGTTATATATTTAATCACTAAATACTTTGAACAGAACTATTCCAATTCCTATATCACTTCTATTATCATAAAATATTTATGAAAAACCTCTACTTAAACGTCTATAATCGAATACTTATCGAAATAAATTATATCTACTTAACACGTTCGCTACCAGCGTCACATATTTGTGACGGTCGTAATCCTATATTTTACATAATGAAAATGAAATTAATCCTATAGATATTGTTATTAGAAATTATAAATTACGACATAATATTTAGGAAGTCAATGACTCGTTTCAGTTTCATTTTTCTAATATTTTGTTTAGAAGAAATAAGCGCTGGTAGTGAACGTGTTAATGTTTCTAATAGATAAGTATTACTAACCACTAAAAAAATATTTAACTGTTTGACAGAACTTATTCCCAAAACCAGAAGCCATACACACAAATGTAAACAAACACGGAATAATCAACAAACCATTTTTTTCCAACACATTTAATTTTTTCTTCCACAAATTGTTTTGTGATTGGATCTCGATAAGTCAGAAGAATAACCATTACATTCAGTAATTTTTAGTTGCAACACTGTTGGTCATACATCTCATTGATTGCACAATCGTTTCTTGTATACCGCGCTTGCAACACTGGAAGTTATTTAAAAAGTCACTAATGTACCGTATCTTGTTTATTAAATCTCTTTTATTTCTCCAGTGGGTTCTAGAAGCCGATGAAATTTTTCTTTCCGCTTCGGAAGCGTGGTATATATTTTCAGAGACCTTGCAATAAGAGAAAATATTCTAAGCCAGCACAATAAGAAAGAGAGAGAGAAAGAGAGAGAGAGAGAGAGAGAGAGAGAGAGAGAGAGAGAGAGAGAGAAAGAGAGGGAGAGAGCTTGACAAAAAGTAAGAGGTCCGAACTATGTAACAGGCATAATCGACGTTGCGACACTTTGCGTGCCAGACAACTATTGAAAAGTTTTCACGATAAATTGACATGCCGTAGGCATTTAGTCACATGTTCTGATGCGAGACTGAGGAAACGAGAGAACATCAGTTTGTGTTTCTCATAAAAATAATAAAGTTGTATTAAAATATTGAAACTGCTTTGATCTAGTCAAAATATAAAACATTCTGATACACGGTGGATAATGCAAGTAGAACAGTGGAACGATAATGGAATAATAATATATAGTGTAATATAATGTATAAAACATAGAACAAAGGTATTTTTAAAACTGGAAAGATCAAGCAGCTAATAATGATTTAAATAAAAATAGATAAACAGAGTAACAATGATATAATTTGATCAAAGAATGAAATGAAATGTAGAAGTAAATTATGATATTGTTAATGTTGACTGTTTGATACAGTTTTATGTCCCCATTTTATGGCAGAATTTCATTCAATTATAATTAGATAACAATAACAAATATATAGAATAACAACAGTTGTTTATAATATCCATTCCAATTAAAAGGTTCTCTAATATTTTTCATTTAACTTAATTATTTGATCAATGTGTTTACACAAAGACAAAATATTCATAATGAAAAATAAATTTAAATTAACGGTAATAATCGATTTCCACGTGTTAACACCTACGCAAGGGGCTATCAGTGAACAAATCAATCGATGAACCCTTAGATTGATTTCGACAGGGTTGCAACACTTACTTAATTGATTCGTTGCCAATAAGGAGCGATGAGTAATTGCAAGGATCCTATCTGGACGTTTCCTTGACGCGTTTGTTGTGTACGTGAAATTACTTTTAATGATCGGTTACCTTCACCCTGTTTACTGTACGCAGGAAGTTTCTCCAGAACAATGATCCAATGACAGCCTTCGTAGATTTCGTCACAGACGTTAACGATGTTTACCTGTGCCCGAAGGATGAGGCACAGTGGTTAACCCAAGAAAGCGGTTTCCATAGAACTAACTGCTCGAGCTACTTACATTTCATACGTGCGAAACTGAAATATCTTATTTCTGACTTAAATATTTTATTTATCGTGTTTATATTATTATTAGTATTGTTAACATTAACGTTCATTGTTGTGCTGTATTATAATGTTTTAAGTTTTATTGTTTAGTGACAATAAATTTCGTATAATTTATGTAACAAATATGTAAATGAAATAATTATATAAGGGAAGAATGTATTTACAAAATGAGTATTAAAAAATTAGAAGTTTATTTATGTGTTTATCAAAATTACATAGAGTATTATTATGAGAACTTAATGTGTAGAAAGATGTAAAATATGTTTAGATTTTCAGTCACAATATTTTAGTAAAATCGAATTAATGTGGATGTCTGTGTTATATTTATCTTATTTTGTAACAGTTTGATTTTAAAAAGTCAGTATGTATATGTATTTACATATCAGTTTGTCATTTAAAAATACAATTCCACTTTTTATATATATCAATTGAACGTGACTAATGAAATGTTAATGAATATCCATATTAGTTGACTCTTTGATCTACATTTAAATTAATTCAAATCGGACTTAACTTAATCTTCATATAAATGTAATCCGGACCTAACAACAGCTCAATTTTCTTTTAATCTATATGTAACTTCAATTTAAATCAGGCGGAATTTAAATTCAGCTTGAACTCTAATTGTATTAGTAATATAGGCAGATTCGAATCCAGACGTAATTTAGAAACAATCCAGTTCTAATTGTAAGTCTGATATAAGGAAATGTAAAATATCTAATATTTCTTTTTTCTTATTGTAAATAAAATAATAAATAACGTTTTTATTATTTTTCGAATTTTATCAGTGAGTATACTTCATGAATATTTAATATCTGAGAAATGTAGTAGATAAAACAATTGTTAGTAGACGAATTAAATGGTTTCCATACTCTGTGAAACTATAAAATGAAATTATTTAAAAATTTTAAAACATTACATATGATTACGGGTAAAATATTTAATATTTAAAATTTTGTAAATATTTAATAACATAAATTTTGATTTAGTCCCCTTCCTCAGTGCAAATTTAAACTTTTGGCCGGCGCTACGCTCGGAAGTGGCGAATTATAGGCGTATGAGATATAGTACAGATAGTAAAGCGACCGTTATACAGCATCTTCATTTTCTAGCTTCTGCTTTAATATGAAAACAGTTTCGACTGCATAGAAATTTCGATAAGTATACTTAACACTAAACACATCACGACTGGTCAGATGACCGGTTTCAAAATTCGGTTAAAAATTCTGCATTTTCTTTTATCCATTTAACTTAATATTGGTTCTTATATTGTCCGATTAATTAGTTCTTCAATGTTCGTTTTTCCTTGTATTCTGCCTTTACTAAGAAAAATTGATCATTTCATTTGTTTACCTTTACAACTAATTATTTAACCGGTTCCTATAGGAATAAATACATAAGGTGCTGGTACATTTAGTGTTAACAGTCGAAGTGTCAACCCCTCGCTTTGTAATAACGTGTCAAACTCATGGTAAAGATATTAAACAGAATTTAATAAGCATAAATATTACTCAATCCTTTTGACTCCAAATTAACCCTAAATAACTAAACTTAAATTAATGTTACTATGTAACTAACCATTCGACTCATAGGCTACGAATTAAAGACATGCATATTTTTATATTTCGTCCATTTATATAAAATATACAATAGGAAATCGTACAAAATTAACGTTTGTAGTCTTGGTAGATGTTTAAAATGTGCTTCTACGTTTGAATTTGCAAAATTGACGGAAGTTATACTATTTAGACGAATGTTTAGTTATTTAGGCTATAAACATTATTCTTCTATTATCAGTTATAGTTATTACACAGAAAATATAGGTATAAGGTATACATAGAATTTTTCTCTTTTTTCCAATGAATTATTAATGAGAAAATAGTTGTATCGATCACGGTCGGGAAATGAATCATAGGGCAACGAGTTACACAGTATTAAATTAATCTCGCTGTGTTCGACTGATTCCAGGTTCCCGCATGATATGACCCAGTCGCGCGAGGTTTTAGGAATGATGGATGCCCACACGACAACGTTCGGTCGGAAACGTGGATGCACGGTATCACCTTGCGGTGGTTTCCTTCTGGGCGCGGCATTCCTGATATCCCTGGTGGTGACGGGCCTGCTGGTCTATCATTTCGCCCCTTGCCTCGAGGAAAAGCTCGTTAAATCTTGCAATGGCCTCAAGATCTCCGTATTCGAGCAGCGCGGCATGTTCCCCACGGACTTTTCAGCCAAGAAGAAACTGGACGTCAGATTGCCGAGATCGGTGTTGCCCGACAGTTACGAGCTGAGGCTGATACCGTTTATATGGGAGGGAAACTTCACTTACCATGGCGAGGTACGTACGCACGCACATACACACGCTTTTCCCTCTTTTGAATGATTTCGTACTCCGTAAAGAAAAGTACCGTTCCTGTTAATTACCGTATTCGATTCTTATCAACGTTACCGTATTGCCTCGCAGAAAAATCACGAGGTAAATAAATAATTTAGCAAACGGTAAAACCAGTTTACGATCTATCTGACGCATGGGCGCATTCAACCGAGAATAGATCTTCGACACTCTAAATTGCGGTCGGGGCAATAAAGATTATTTAGTATGTATTAACCTGTTACACTCGTATGTCATGCTGGCGATGACAATATAAATTGTTATAGAGCGTTAGAAATTGTTTTAAATCTTATTATAACACATTAAATCTTATAATAATAATAAATAAAATGAATATAAAACGTTGAATTCTACTGCGGTAAATTACTTTAATTCGTTTCCCTAAAAATAAGTACAAGTTTGCACTCAACAACATTGAAAATAAGCAAATAAGGGGTTAACCCTTTGCCCTCTTATGTCGAATATAACTCGACATCAGATCTGGTAAAAAGTGTGCTTCTCTGGCGACACATTTTTAAATTATGTTATTTTATGATTTTCAATAACATTACTAAAAAGAATAGACACTATTTTCTATTAACTAATCTAACTAATTTCTTTCCAAATACATCTCAAATGAAACACTTAAAACTATAGAAAATTATCGAAAAGGTAGAAGACACTCGGAGTGCAAAAGGTAAAAGATTTATTTTTGTTTATCTAGCACTGCGAAGTTACTTTTCTCGTATGAGTTTTGTTTAGATTGTTTATTCAGTTTGTTCAGTGTGGATGTATTGTATGTAGATGAAATACATTATAATTTTAATGGTACATTTACTTCGATTTAATAAACGGGGTTATTAATCTCTTGCCTTACGAGTCATTTCGATTCAGATGTTCCTACTTACGCGATTGAATTTTGCGGAAATTTTGTAGATGCAACTGTTATATAAAAAGCTAAGGTATTACTGGTTCGACGAAATTTATTTATGAAAATAAATTATTATTTTGGTTTCGATATGGTAGATTTATAAGATAATTTATAAAGTTAAGCTTCGGGTGAAGACCTCCGATAATTCGTCATTTCTACTAAAGGAATTAATAAGGAACTTGGAGGGATGATGGAGTTGTTACAAAATTGAAGATAAAAATTAATAAATTGACTATTGAATACTTAACGTACTTGAATATTTTACTCTTCATGCTAGGGAAAAGTAGGGTAAAATATAACGCTTTTTTAAATTGTGACAACAAAGTATCTGGAGCAATAATAAAATTTCAAAACCGGTCATTCGACCAGTTCGCGGTACAATTCGTGTTAACATGATTCTTCCACAATAATTTTGCTGGCTTGTCTGACACTCGAAATTCTTCGTATAATACGATTATCTCCGGAAATGTTTGTGGCACATGTATTTGTTTGTTCATCAATCATTTCAAAATACTGTTTACTATTTGTTTTGTCTGCAATAAATTTTATTCTCGTTTTATCATGGTAACTAATACCGGCTTAAGTAAACATTTTACTTTGCCATTTTTTATTTACTGACAAGTTAAAAGTTATATCTCTTTAAATTATGAAATTATAATTCAAATTAACCGATTCATTCGAATTAATCTTTTATGACTATGCACTTCGAAATTATGTTATATATATATATGTCTTTTTAGTTTCTTCTTTATTCTCTCTTTTGCAAGAAAGTGGCGCAGCATCGTGGTATCGTACTATTCTCTCACCATGAAGCTTGTTTATCGATATTCTTTTTCTTAACCAGTTAACTGCGTTTGGCGAATATACGCGCCATCTTAAAGCTTGAAATGACACTAATTATTTCAACGATGAATTGTTTCTTTTTTCAGATAAAGATGTAATTTTTCTTTGTTTTTCTTTGGTTTTTCATTAAAGTATACCTTAGGTGCATTCGTCCTGCGTTTGACGAGTACATACTTCATTTTTTTATTTCACTGCGCGCAAAAGGAAAGATTTTTCAAACTAAATTCCACAATTAACAGGTTAAATCAAAATGCTTACTACTTGAATTTATTTTTATATAATTCTCTTCGTAATCATTCTATGCTAACATTATTGATTTTCGTAGTTTCATTGATTCATTTCAATCTTAGAAAGTAGAGGTTTAAAAACAGATAATTAATCATAAATATAATTACTTGAAAATATCCAGTAATGTTTATAAAATTCAATATTTGCAAAATTGATGTGTACGGTATATCTAGCGTTAAACAACGAAAAGTTTCTGAAATAACTGCATTTATTATTTATAGGACACCCTGTACTTCGAGCTAAACTTAATCGAACTTAACTCCGCTAAACCGTGTATTTATCGTCGCTTTTACCTCGCTGCTATCACCTTCGATGGTTTTCAATTTGACACATCGACATTTAACATATCACGTGAACAGATAAACTGAAAACAACACGGAAGAAGTCAATGTAATCATGTACAGAAACGATTCGTAAATAATGAAAATGTATTGAATCTATCGAAAAGTTCTGCCCCTTAATGTCATCTTAAATTTCCAAAGTAAAATCATTCATTAGTGAGGACGGAAATTATCTTGTTCAGTAAACTAAAACATTTGAAAGGAGAAAATTTTGCTAAAACTTTCCTACAAATGTATGGGATATTTTAATTATATAAAAATATTTCAACATATGTGTATTAGAACTACGACAATTATTTTTGTAAGGGATAAATAATATAATATATAATTCGGTATCTTAACGTATTCGTATTGGCAAATAAAAATTTTCGTTTCCTGACGACAACATTTCCCGATGCGAAAGTAAAATAAATGTATTGATAATATGTTTTCTTTTCATTCAAAAACGGACAGAACTTTCTGGTAGACCTAATATTGGATTGATGCAAAAGTTTTGACGTTTCTTTATAAGAAATGAGAAGAGGAGTTCTGAATTGTTCGTTAGCTAAACAAAAACTAAGTAAAAACGAAGAAAGAAGTGTCCTTTATACACGTTGTAATAGTTTAAAAACAGATGTTCCAAGCCAATATTATGCATGCGAAGGGAAGTTTTCGGGACCGTTCTACAGGTAATTTGTTGCAGTACAGATATCGATTATAGAATAATAGAACAACGGGGCGTATCAATTTCAATAGCTCGTCGTCTTCCTTTTATTTTTTAACCGAGGAACGGGGAAATCGATCGTCCCATCGAAATGAGAAGTAGTTTGCTTTAAATGATACAGACAAAACGGCGAATAATCTCTCAAGATATTTTTACCATTTATTTAAAATTCACATTTGCATATAAAATATTCTCGCCAATCATGTTTTCATCGATACGAGTTATTTTTAAGTAAGCTGGCGGTGTTTCGCTACTTGGTAAATGCTTGAAACAGAAACTTGCTTAACATTAGATTTACTTGAACTTTATAAATATTATTGGATAAATGTTTGGGTCAATTTTGATCGATGCAGCTACGCAAATATATACCCCAAATTGTTTGCTTTTAACCAATTAACATGTCAGAGATACACGTCATCTTAAAATGCAGAATGGTACTAATTTTCTCAACGATGAATTATTTACTTTTTTAGATAAAGGTGTAATTCTTCTTCGTTTTGCTTTAGTTTTTCGTTAGAATATATTATAGATGCACTTGTTCTGCGTTTGGCCAGTATACACTTCATTATTTGGTTTTATTGCGAGCACAACGAGAGATTTTTCAAACTAACTTCCACAATTAACCGGTTAAACCTTTAATTTCAAAGATCTAAATGAATGAGTATCAGGTTTTCTAAGAACGATAGAGCAAATTGCACAGTAAATGCTCGTAAATCTAGTGTTGAAAATATACGATCCTGTCTGATGAGGAGATACTTTTTACAATTTTATTGAAAGTTCTGTGAAAAAAAATATAGTAAAAAATATGACGACCAGTGTCGATCCCTCTGAAAAGGTGAAAGTACACGAACTTGTCCAGTAAGCGATTGTAGTTAGAAAGTTTTAAACGGCGCGATGTTCCGTTCCTTGTTTTTATGTAGAACAAGAAAAAAGTAAACGGAAAGAGAAGCGGGTTAAAAACTAGTGCGAAAAGTGTATCGACGGATTTTGTTTCGGATTTCGTGATAGAGAAACATTGTTCCTACTTTTAAATTGGAAGTCTATAATAAACGAAACTAATATATACGACTACGTTTTAATAATTATTGTAATAATAATAATTCCTAATATTACGATAATTATCAGTATCTAATTATTATTATTAGTTAATTTCAGAAGAGTTTAATTGTGATATCTATATATAAGTTTATGGTAATGGTTTTCTTCTGTCTTATCTAAGTAATTAATCACAATTGTAATAATAAGAATAATGAAAGAAATAATAATTATATCGTTCAAACTATTATAGTTTTTTTCATAAGGAGTTTATTATATAAAAGTAATTGTACTTAAATGTATCATTTTTCTATAATTGCAAGTGTTAATTGAAAATATGTTTGATATATGTAACTTAGTATGTTTAATAATTCTTCCAATAAATAACTCAAGTTTTCTATCAATTGAATAAGTAATCCAAACTTTTTGTTTGGTAGTATAGGCAGCTCAATCTGACAGTTTTGTTCAAATAAAACAAAAAACTGTTTAATAGGTATATAATACCCAACGAAATCATTAAAATTGCGATAATTAAAGTACTCTCTCGAATTCTTTCCTTCGATTCGAACTGATTCAGAAAAATACGCATCTATTTTCAGGTGAAGATTCTCGTGAACGTGACCGAGGACACGAAAAATGTTACGCTGCACGCAGTCAGTATGGATATCGATGAAAGTTTCACAAATATCAGAGAGCATTTGCTCACGAGCAACTCGACCAAAGCGATCCGAATAGTCGAGCAGAGAAACGACACTGAACGGCAGTTTCACGTGATTAAAACTTCAGACACGTTGAAAGCGGGAAAGCAGTACCTCGTGCATTTCAAGTTTGTCGGTTATTTGAACGATTACCTGCAGGGCTTCTACAGGAGTTCTTACACTGTTGACGGTCAGAAAAGGTAAATACCCCCAGGAATTTTATTTTATGCATTTCTACTATTGCATAATTCTTCGAGAGCTTGATTTATAGATATTATCACGTTTGCTACCACTTATTACAATAGTTTGTTTTGATTACTTAGCCTTCATAACGATGATATTTTATTCATATCAATGTATTATTTTGCTACTAGTATACATGTTTTGGTTACTCAGTATTCATAATTATCACGTTTCGTTAAATGCGATATGTTAGTTTACTACTAATAACTTTTTTGGGTTACTTAGTCTTCATAATGATGATATTTTGTTAATATATGAAACAGCGGATGAAAAGTATTCCATTATTTGAAAAACCACATTAAAGTGGATTAATGAAAAATGTAAAATTCGAGAAAACCGGGCAATTCATAATCGAGTACCCATTTTTTAAGTATCCTTTATATAATTTCGTTTTGTCCTCGTAAAAATTCGACAAAATGCTTCGAAAATAAGGAATTTATGTAAAAATATAATTTTAAAACTTGAATAAATACAGACATTTCGGTTGTCAATGCAAGGGCTAAACGGAGTAGTGTTAAGCGAGGTCTTACTGTATCCGACATTATCTCCCCGTGCATCTGTGTTGAATGAACGAATGTCTCGTGATTCTCGTCTATGATAACAGCAGCAAGGGATGAGTTTAAACCGAGTCCATCCTGGAAGTACAAATAGGGCTTCACCAGTGTCTGTTTGCTAAGTTCCCCTCGGTTTTGTATTACAGATGGATCGCTACTACTCAATTTCAGGCGACGGACGCACGACGTGCTTTTCCTTGCTTCGACGAGCCGGCTTTGAAAGCTCGGTTCCAGATTAGCATTGCAAGGCCAAAGAATATGACGTCCATCGCGAACATGCCTAGGAAAGAGGAGCCAATGCCTGTGTAAGTGTCCACGTTCGAATTTTTAAAAGCTTAAAGTACATAATTCCGAGCGCGATAGCCCTGTGGGTAATTATGATGACTCGATTTCATTGATATTAAACCTAGTCAGTGTAGTCAAATTGACATTCTGAAGTTATTCTACAGAAACTCGAAGAGTGCATCTATTGGGATTTTTATTGATTTACAATCCAGTTTGCGTGTTGCTATTTCTTTAGTTGTTTATCAAAGAATCGTCTGTTATTTTTTTATTGCAGAAATAAGAAATCAGGAATGTATCATTTCAACCTGTGTAGTAGTTTTAGTGTTAACACTCAAACTATCTAGCGTTTAATCCATTAATGTATTACTCATTTTATATATTTTGTGGGCAACACGCGCTTAGGCGATGCAATGTTGGAATACAGTAGACATTGGATAATTGCACACTCAACAGGACTGGAAGGTTGCAATTATGAAGAGGTAGAATCGATTCAATCCCAAGAAACGGAGATTTTAGCATGGTGGTCGTAGAAAAGGACAACGCGAGTGAAGGAAAAAGAAAGACTGAGAGTCGAAGCGTTCGGCTAAATTAAAGGCTCGCCACGAGCTTGAGATTTTTGACTCCAAAAACCAAACTTCTTTATTTTTGGCTTTTGGTGAATGAAACTTTCACCGTCGCGTTTGTTATGTTTTTTTGATTAAAATGACACCAAACACGATAGAACTGCAACCATACTTGCTTGTTTAATAAGCGATTGAGGTTTCGGATATAGAAAAGGACTATGGAAAAAAAGAAAGAGACGTTGAAATCGTCGAGTTCGACAATAGTTCGATCATGTTAGACCCTTCAACTGCGGTCGGTTGTCGATCGCTGTGGTGTGTTAAAAGGAACCTGATGGGGATGGCGACGTTGCAGTCATGAAGAGGTCCCTGATGTTGCAATGATCCAATGTTCACTGTAATCCAAAAAATACTTGGAAGCTGACTAGATGGTATGATAGTATGGTATTACAGTGTATTACCATGTCATCTACCCCGTACAGAAAAGATAAAATTAAGATTCCATAAAGATAAAGATTCCATCGTAGTAGAAAATGATGATAATTAATCGTCATAAGCTTTTCAGACAAAATAGATGAGTCTCGTGACTACTACCGCAATATTAAATGATTATGACACGCGCGCTAGTAGGACAAGTAAACCGAAGAATTAATTTCTACATACGGCAAAGAGCATGCAATTAAGTTGTTTGTGTAAGATGAATCGTCCAAGCTAATTGTTCTGCGCCGTTTCTCGTTTGGTAAATTAAGTAGCGTAGAAGATTCTGTCTACTGTGAACAGAGAAATGACATAAAATAATAAAGCTTGGAAATTCAAAAACTTTGGGAATAGAGATCACACAATAATGATGATTTAATACGTTTGAGAATTCATTTGTAGTTATAGAATATATATTTTGAGCAGTAGGTTCAAATTTAAATAAAATTATGTCATTATAATTTTTATGTTTGAAAAATAATTTACATCATTAATTAAATAGCAATAATTCAGTATGACATGTTGAAATTGATGAAATTTATTGAGAATTTGTTTAAATTAACATAATTGACCTATTTGTAGTAACCAACTATTTCTTAAAAATTTTTTACATGTTCCAAATGTTATAATAATTGTTTATAAATTAATTGTAAAACATATTTTGTGTTCCTACTTAGCATTTATTTTTAGTACTTACACCACATCCAGTTATCGAATTACAAATCTTGCATAAACTGCGAAAAACAGTTTCATTCTCTTAAAACTTGACTTAAAAATAATTAACTGAACGTGACTCTTGAATTTGGTTAAATTGTTGAATGAACATGTAAGTTTGCTTGAATTAAATGCAACATAGTACGAATACGAGTTGATAGAAGAATTAAAACCAATGTTTTTATATACTACTTTAGAGTAGTTTTATCAATATTGACATGTCACGTCAAAGTGATGTTTCTCGTTATTATAGATACAGTGACTCACAAATCTGTTCACACACGACTACTACATTTACTTAACTTACGCAAATTAGAAATCGGTGTCAAATAATCTTTTTGCGTTTCAAAGAAATTTATTGTGTAATATATAATATCTACATATTTTTCTTTTTATGGCGTTTATCCATGTCTTGCAATAATATTTTCCCATTTTTCTCGAAATCTTTTTCAAAGTTAACCCGAATTTGAAAATTAAATTTGTCTTTTTCACTTAACACCCTGTTAACACCCAAATCATCAAAGTTCTTCATATCTGTTACTCGACAATGAAGTTTCTATTATCTTTATGACATGTTTATGATCAAATTATGTTCAAAGTATTATCTTTCTTCTATTTTCACGAACTATTATTAATATTTTCAAAATATTGTCAGAATTTTATTCTACCTTTCTGTTATCTATTCCTTAAATCTTGCTGAATGTCGTTACACTCTCATCGATCATACTAACGTCCCCTGCGTATTTCACAGTGTACTGAGCACACATCGCTCGCAGTTTCTCGTTTCTTCCTCTGCACACTCACTTTCAGACCATTTACTCCAAATGTACGTATTCTCATTTTATCTCTTCATGATAGTATTTCACATGACTGATCGGTGTAATTTTGAGATTTTTGTAAATGTCAATAGCATAACCGTGTGCCCATCTATACGTAACACTTTTCAGTTTCCAACAGGCTATTTTAAACGTCTCTTTCACTGTCGAACTTTCTTAGCACTGAAATCTACCGTGTTAAACTCTTTGACCTTCTTTTGAATTTTACACATTGTTAACTGATAAAAATAATTTAAATTGTAAATTGCTTTTAAACGATGGAAGATATCGAAAAACTTTATATTTATCTTTTTTAACTACAGTTAATGATGATAATGTAAAAATATCAGAACTACAAAACGGACAGTATGAAATACAATACAATACGAAAACTGACTATTTGAGTGCACGAATTTATTGAAGTTCTTTTCTTGAATATTATTTTTTTAAATATGTGAACGCATTTGTAAGACTATGCGTTTATATTGTAAAAATAGTTATGTTCAATAGAATTTTAAAAAATAACAAGACAATGGTTTGAGGATAATTATACAAATGGTCTTAAATTTGTATGCTGCAAGTTGCGAGTAATTACTATAAATTTCTTTAAATTCAATCGATTGTAACGACCCAAAGCTGAACGATTACGAAGCTGGGAATGGTCGTTGAATTTTTAAGAGGTTGTTACGGTCTGAATTTTAAAACAAGATACCCCGAGACGTGCTCGATGTCGGGCGCGCGACACGAAGGGTGATCAACGATAGTGATGGGTATTTAAACCATTTGAGCGCGATCAATCAATATTAATACATTGTAAACGGATGTTGAGATATTTTAATCAATTTGATCGATAGCCTTGATACGTAAACATTTTTAAGGATTACATGTCTTAAATAAACGTATAATTTGTAAAATCTTCCTTGACATAAACTGTTTAATATAATAATTATTTTCGAATAATTTGGAAGTAGTATTTAACGCAGAAAAACAGCTACTCGGTATGGTTAGCAAGAAAAGATCATGTTCGCAATTATTTCATAATTGAATAAAGATGATAAACAGTTATACGTGTTAATTTGAAGTATTTGAACATTGAAACATACAATCCTACATTGTTTATTAGAAAAATAAAGATTTTTGTTCGTCAAATGTATAATCAAATATTTTGTGGTTGTTACTCTTACTAACAATGAAGTTAAGAGATTTAGTGTCATTTGTAAAAATAAAGCTCATGAATTATTTGAAATCTTCTCATTTTTATTCAATCGCACGTGTTAATTTCAACTATACAAGAATTGAAGGATTTAATTCCATATTTTTCATTAGAAGAATAGAGATTATGGTTCATAGAACGAATAATCAATTATTTTTGGGGTAGTACCGTATGCGAACTGAAGAGATTTACTATTCGTTTGTATGCTAAAACAGTTCAAGGACTTCAAGCTCTTGTCTGTATCCTCAATGGAAAAAATAAGTAGGTCAAAACATTTACTAAAGGTGCACAAGTCAGATAAATTGCACTGTTGCCCCACCTTTTCATCAGTACATTCAGCTAAGGTATTTTCTAGTCGTAAAGAACGTTTCTTTTGGACACTTTTTAGCCCAATGAATTACACAAAACCATCCGAAAGCTTTCTCCATTGTGCCATGAAGGGTAATGCTGAAAAAAATAACCTAAGATAAATTTCACGCTAGTAAAGTAAATGCACGAACCGTGTGAGCGGCGACATTCTAAACTAGCCACAGGCTACGCCAGATGTCTTCTTTTGAAATACAAACTATAGTTGTGCATGACCTAGTGTATACTCTGACATTGGTAGCCACGGGGAAAATGGAGTACACGAATAAACTTATATACAGGGTGTCCCGCGACTCATGGTCAACGAATTAGGAGGTCATTCTATATGTAAAAATGAGTCGAAAAAATACAATAAAATTTTTTCTTGCGACTCTTCGTTTTCGAAAAAATCGAAGTCGAAAATTTACTCGGTACCTGTACACTCGGTAACATGTCGACTTTGTGCATCTCACTATACACTCTTGTTTCGATTCTTATTTGTATTTAAAGACATAGTAATGACAAAGTGCGGATACCGCTCTTGATACAAACGCGGCACTCGAATTACCCTCGCACGCTCCAAGTGCGAGAATCATATCCGCATAGTCACTATTCAAATAAGCTGCCATACTGAGAAACTGTTAGATACTGAATAATTATACCGCTAATAGAATAGCACGAACGATAAAATATTAACCGAGGTCGTTACTATACCTTCAAATACAAATAAGACTCAAGACAAGGGTGTATAGTGAGATGCACAAAGTTGACATGTACTGAGTGTACATGTACATAATGTATTTTTACATGCAGAATGACCTTTTAATTGATTGACCATGAGGAAACCCTGTATATAGTGCCCAGTATAGTGTATTAATATAATTAGTATCCAACTATAATTAGTACTCATAATAATATTGTATAATACTATTACTTATTAGTTCTGGGCAGATTTTGTGTCAACGTTTGCTGTGAAATATAATCATTAATAACAGATGAATAACATTTAACTTGAATTCAAACGAATTGAATAATATTTATATTTGTTAAATTAATGTTACTTAAGTTATTATTATTTAACACTTAATCAACCGAATGGGGAGATCTCCAACTTTTCTCTTACCAACGCATTACCTATTATTCCGTTTTCTTTCTTTTGTCACTTAGTAGGTCCTGAACTAAGATTCTTTACTATTAATTAAATAGCTTTCTTGTTTATATAAAACACAATTCTTAATAAAATTAGTTGTTTGAGTTCAATTGGAGTTAATGAAAAAGTTTATAGTTATAATCTTCGTAAGGTGGTTGCCTAAATATCAATTATTACTTATTATACTTAGTATTACTTAAATAAACTTAAAACATTTAAACTTCAAAGTTATATAATTAAATGATGTCGAACAACTGAACGAAAAAGTTGGATTACATCTAAATGAATTATAATCACTCACATGTTTCCACTTCTAGTTTACATTTTTTAATTGTGTAGTATTAAAACTTTATAATTGTATACTTCTCAATTTCCCATTACCTAACGATTAACCAAATCCCTATTTTTTGCTATATAGATTGTCGAAACTTTTGATTAAATTGGAATTTAATAATTCGAATTCTTAGGTTATATCTCTAAATAAGCATAATACAATTTTTTAAGTATATTTGAAAAATTTCTTCTCAAGTCCCCATTTACTTGGGGTGTTCGTGATTTAGTTGGCCCCCGTTATCCAGTTAACTGTGTTAGATGAGTATACAGGTCATGTTAAAGCTTGAAATGAGAGCAATTATTTCAACGATGAATTGTTTCTTTTTTCAGATAAAGATGTAATTTTTCATTGTTTTTCTTTGGTTTTCCATTAAAATATACCCTAGATGCATTCGTCCTGCGTTTGACGAGTACATACTTCATTTTTTGATTTCACTGAAACCAGGTTAAATCGGGTAATCGAGGTTCTACTATATCGTTAAAGCAATTCCGAATCTTAAAACTAATTTTCCTTTATCAGGCCAGGATTACCATCCTATCTATGGGACCATTACGAGCAGTCGGTACCAATGTCGACCTATTTGGTAGCCTTCATAGTTTCCGATTTCAAAATGTTGAAATCGGAATCCGGGAAGTTCAGAGTCTGGGCACGAAACGAGGCGATTGACCAAGCGCAATACAGTTTGCAAATAGGCCCGAAGATTCTTGAGTGTTTCGAGGATTATTTCAAAATTAAATTTCCTTTGCCCAAGATTGACAACGTTGCTCTGCCGGACTTCGCGGCTGGCGCCATGGAAAACTGGGGTTTGATTACTTACAGGTAACTCGAAGTACTATTACCTTTATTTACGTTACAAGTTGTTACTAGTTTAAAATTATATTGCTAATTAAAATTGTTCAAACTGATAGATTAAAATCAAAATTATAGATATGAATTCTTTATAGAGAATTTTAACTGTTTCGTAAGTAATTGAGGGTTGTTATCTTTATTCTTTCGTCCTATTTTTTAGCAATTATTAATTACAAAAAATAGTATAAAGTGTAATGAGGACAAAGTTACTGTTGGTATTAAGTAAATTTCTTGATTTCGTAATATATTTTAGATTTATATTACTTTATAATTAGTAGCTTACAATTTAATTAATATAGTGGTGCTATTATTATAGATAGTGAAAGAGTGGATCTTGAGTAATCGAGATCACACTCATTCTTACATTCACTCTTCTTAAAAATACTTTAACCTACGCTAAAGATTCTAGATACTACATTAAGTATTATTGTTTCTTACAAAAATTAAAGTTATTACCTATAACTTTAATATAATTTAACATGATTTAACAGGATAATAAAATTGTAAAACTAATAACGTAAAATAAAAGTAACTTTGTTACAGGTTTAATATAATGATTTTTATTTTGTAATATAATCAGTTTTAATGTGATGAAATTCTAAAGTAATATTTTATGATATAATTATTTCTGTTTCAGAGAAACAGCCCTGTTGTACCAAGAAGGCGTATCGACCAGTAACAACAAACATCGCGTGGCCACTGTTGTCTCTCACGAGCTTGCTCATCAGTGGTTCGGTAACTTGGTGACGCCAAGTTGGTGGACGGACCTTTGGTTGAACGAAGGTTTCGCTAGTTACGTGGAGTATGTTGGTATGAATGCGGTAAGTTCGTGAGTTTCGAATTGAAAATTCAATTATGGCCTCTTAACATGTTGATAGCAAAATCAGCGTCCTCGGAGATACCTGAATATAAAAGTACATTGTTTAATTCATTACAACAATCACATCTTATAAATTTTATCATTGCATCTTATAAATTTTAACGAAAATTATCACCTGGTTTATTTAAGTAAATCACCCCAATCTCTTGCTTTACGATTTATGTCTGAACTGTGATCGATTTAACTACTTTGTTATTAAGAATTTATTGAAAACAAGAGAAAAATTCTGGGCATATTTTTTGTCAACGTTTGTTCTAAAGTATAATTATTGATAACACTGTCCAACACGATTTTTGTTTTATAATAGCCACTAGGTGATCCTTATAAAGTTTCTGGCTCTAAATACAAATCCGAAAACCAAATGATATTTAATAATAATAATAATAATAATAAACACAACTTAACGATGAACATTTCTCTGAGGAATTTTCCTTTCTATTTTTTAGGTAGAACCAACATGGAAAGTCTTGGAACAGTTTGTAGTTCACGATCTTCAAACTGTTTTTGCATTGGACGCATTGGAGTCTTCTCACCCCATATCCATCGAAGTTGGTCATCCGGATGAGATTAGTGAAATCTTCGACAGGATTTCATACGAAAAAGGTAATGAATAATCGTGTGTCTTTTTTTATGAACATGAGAATTTCTGCAATACGTTATACCGAAACAAAGTTTTGAAAAGATATTTCATTATAACGTTTAAGAAAGAAATGTAAATAAATTGTAACATGACTTTGTATCTGTGCAGGGGCTTCTATAATAAGAATGATGGATCATTTCCTTACCACTGAAGTTTTTAAACAGGGATTAACAAACTATTTAAATGGAAAGTGAGTACATATATTAATTTGATAAACAATATGATTCACGTATTATATATATTTTATTACATTTTATACTTTAGCACATTTTTTAAAATTTCCGGAAGTTATTAAACCTGTGTAAACATTTAATAATTAGTGAAATCTTTATTCTTGGAATCTCTATCTCTATTCTTTTATATCATTTGCTAATTATACTATTCAACAAGTATTTACGACGTTCGATAGGCATTCTTTATCAATTTTTACTCCAATTTACTATCTTACCATTAAATAATTTATAAATGAAAAATACAATACTGAAATTATGTAGATCACATAATGCTGCAGATACGACTGTTCTGTTACGCTGTAAGTTTCATGCGAAATAACATATGATTGTGGTGCGTTGAGAACCACTGTTGACGTCGCATGTTGAGTCAAATTGTTTTGTTCTATATTAGAAAGGACCATTATTTGTAACATTTCTTGACGATTTTTATAAGAAGAAGATTTACATTATCGCATAAAGTATAGTTTTCTTGTTGCATTTTTAATTTTAAAAATAAATTGACGATCACCCACAGACATTGACTTCATTTGCTGTCATCTTCACTTTCATCGCTGTTTAAACACACACGCGCGCGCGTGTAAAACTGTTTCATAATTATTACTATTAAAATATAAAGCATTATCGAAATTAAAAATTCCGAATTCTAATTAAATAATACTAATTGAATATTAATATTTTTAAAAGTATTAATTCATTTTCTTGTGATACGTTCTCACGATTGCTTTTTAATTTCACGTTAGAGCATATCAAAGTGCTGAACAGGATGATCTGTGGAACGCTTTAACGAAGCAGGCGCATAAGGATAAAGTCTTAGATCCAAGTGTTACGATAAAGCAGATTATGGATACCTGGACTCTTCAAACTGGATTCCCTGTTGTGACAGTGATTCGAAATTATAAGAACAATTCTGCAACATTAACTCAGGTTCGTTAGACATAAAATGTCTATAGTCTTAGTCGCGTTCTTGAATAATCGTTTATAATCGATAACTTTAACTTCAATTTCAATTTCAACGTTAACTTTAGTTTTTATTTTAACTTCAATTGTAACTTTACTTTCAATTTAATATTTTTATTAAATTTTTTATTTCAATTTTAAGGAACGTTTCCGTCTCCATAATGGCACCATAACAACCACTTCCGAAACTGAACCATTATGGTGGGTGCCCATCACCTACACATCTGAAAAACAATTAAATTTCAACAAGACCCAACCATCGGAATGGATAAAAGCTGAAAAATCGATTGTTTTACCCAATTTGAATGCTAGCTCGAAAGAATGGACAATTTTCAACGTTCAGGAAACCGGTAAGCAAGTGTATTATTCATCAAGTACTAAAATACTAAATTATTAATAATTAGTCGAAAAAAGTAATTTGAATAGCATCTGTTATATTTTGAGTTTCTAAAAGGGGTAGTACAATTATTTTTCTCTCTAATGCACAATTTTCTTAGACATTATATCATTTACGAATTTTGAACCAATATTCACACTTTTTTTTATAATTGAGACTGCATATATATTTGTAATTGCAATTGCATTTAACACTAGATGCATATTGAATTTTATAAACATTATTCAGTAAATATTTGTCGATGTTGATTGATGTAATTACAGTAATATGTATCCCAACTCTCTATTCTTAAACCTCTAGTTTCCACGATGTAAATGAGCGAACATTAATTTTGCTAAAAATAATAAAGAAAACTGTACAATAAATGAACCTAGTATTAACCCCTTACCTTACAATATCGCGTCAGATTCATGGCAAAGATTTCTAATATAGTCTTACAAGTATAAATGATATTCAGTTCTTCTGAGTTCAAATAAAACATTTTTCTTGTTAGTAATTTGTACGGTGTAGAGTAAATCTAGACATAGAAGAAGCATAGAATTTTTTGTTTAACTAGTGCATCATTAACGATAAATAGTTCTAACAAGTGTAACTGCGAAATTTAATCGTAGAGCAAGGGGTTAATATATGATACTTACACAGTTAATTCAATTGCATTCGAATATTTTTCCCTAGGATACTACAGAGTGAATTACGACAGAATGAATTGGCAGATGATAATCAATCAGTTGAACAAGGAATCGTACAGAGATATTTCAACGATCAATCGAGCACAGTTGATCGACGATGCCTTGAATTTAGCTAGAGCTGGAAGATTGGACTACGCCACTGCATTGGATGTCACGTCTTATTTGGCGCACGAGACCGAGTATTTGCCTTGGAAGTCCGCTCTCACTGCCATGCACTACTTAGATAGCATGCTGATCAAGATGCCTAGTTACGATAAGTTTCGAGTAAATAAATACGTATATTTATATTTTTTACCTATGCAGGATACTCAGCAATATGTGGGAGAAAATTTAACCCTTTCGATTGAACGACGCTTTGATATATAAAATCGAAAGCTGCAAATGAATATTTCATTATTCAAATAATGAGAGATTTATGCGTGATTGTCTTCTTTTCTAATATTCAAGACTTCGATGCATACTTCAGATTTTTATGCAGAGTTTTGTCATTACAGAAGAGTTCTTCAAAGTTTAAAATATTAAAAACTACTTAATGAATATTTAGTATATTTACTTTTCTACAAATATTGAGATTTTCTTAACCTGTTCGAAAGAAAAACTGTTCTCACGCTTTCTGCGGGAGGTTCCTCTTTAGAAATGTCTGCAGAATTCAATGGTGTATAACAATTTGGTTCTAACCAACCTAGTTTTCATAGAAATGTAACAGAAGTGCCTACAAAGTATGCGCATCTACCCTTTATTAAACTTTGATCATCATTTACAAGCATTTAATGGTACGCAATATTAAAAATTGTTATAGCTACATCTTCGGGCAACTCTTTTTATTTTTTACGATAAATTTTAACTGCTTATTATTTTTAGTTTTCACGTAAATCTTGTTTCTCTAAAAAATTCGATTGTTTTTACAAAAACCCATTTTTTGAAAAGTGGGCGTGACCCAGCAATTTGATTTTCGGATTTGTATTTAAGACAAGAAACTCTATAAGGACCATCTAGTGGCTATTAAAAAACAAAAATCGTGATCCACAGTGTTATTAGTGATTAGTGGATAGTGGATGTTAGTGCATTTATAGCATTTAAAAAAGTTTGAGTTACAATAAACAGTTTATATTAATAAACACTAATGATATTTCTACTTCAATTTTGCCATAAAGAATCTTTTAATCGACGAAGTAAATTTTATTTAAACTCATCCAGGTTTCATTGAAATAATTTGTAAAAATTGAGATTTGCATAAAATCCAATAGTTTGTGAAAATTGGGAATTGAGAAATCAATATGTGATTTTGGTAATTTTCGAATTTCGATTACTTTTAACCTTACTCTGAGTATATGCAACACATTATTGCAGCAATGCGTGAAAATATAATTATTAAAAACAAAACTCTTTCCTAGGTGTACATTTTGAAACTCATTGACAACGTGTACAAACAAGTAGGTTTCAAGGATAATCCTGACGACCCACAGTTAACAGTGTTCACTCGGATCAATGTACTGACTTGGGCATGCAAGTTTGGTCACGAGGACTGCATTCAAAATGCAAGGAAGCAGTTTTATAATTGGCGAAACATGCCTGATCCAGACAAGAATAATCCGTAATTATGAATCGTACCGATTTAAAACACTTTAAGAATTCGTAGAAAGATGAGAAAAGTGTGTTAAATGGAAATATTTTATAAGTATATCATTCCTTTGTTTTTGTTAATTATGCACGTAAAATATTTATTATTTTGCACGGTTTGCACATATATCGTATTGTTAAATATTTTAACCATTTTTTTAATACACAAAATGTAGGTCAAAATTAATTTATACAAGACATTAACGTTTAATACGTACCACATAATACCTTGCATAATTCTAAATTGTGATAAAAATATTTCAATTCATTGACGTTTATTACATAACTAAATCCAATTTTTTTCTATGTTAACAATTTTGAGATGTTGTCATGTAATAATAATCTTTTTCGTGTTTTTGATTACATAAGTAACTTCATTAATATAGGGTGTTTCTGTAACCGTGGTTCAACGTAAACATATAAACAATATTATATTTAGAATTGTTCTTTTGTGCTTACAAAGATATAATCGAAAAGAATTCGTAATATTATATTATAAACATTTTGATTTATAACATTTTTCCTACAATTTTCAGCAAATATTGTAAATATATTATAACACACAAAAAGTATTACACTATCGATATTTTAGATATATTTTCGCACAATATACATGTTGTGCGCGTTTGCAATTTCAAATTTTTCATAAATACATAAAAATCTACAGGTTGGTCGTTAACCCCTTGACTTATATTGACGTGTCAGACTCGCGGTGAAAATTTTAAACAGAGTTTAAAGAATATAAATATTATTAAATTTTGTTATTATCCTCATCAATTATTATACTTTAGAGCGAACATAAGAATACAATGAGTTTAGAATTTCTGTCTTTGTTTCAGTAAGTTATAATTTATAGAAATTTTTTTAATCTGTTCGAAAGGAAAACCGTTCTCACGTTTTCTGCAGGGGGTTTCTTCTTCAGAAATGTCTGCAGAATCCAATGCTGTATAGCAAATTGGTACTAGCCAACGCACCTTTCGTAAAAATGTAACAAAAGTGCGTACAAAGTACGTGCATCTATCCCTTTTTAAACTTTGATTATCATTTAAGTATTTAATGACACGAAATATTAAAAAATTTTATATTTACATATTCGGGCAACTCTCCTCTATCTTTTATAATAAATTTGAACGACCTATCGTTTTTATGGAACATGGATTTCGAAAATTGAGGGTAATCCAGTAATTTGGTTTTCGGATTTGTATTTAGGGCAAGAAGTTCGATAAGGATCACCTAGTGGCTATTACAAAATAGGAAAGAAGTTCAAATTTGTTGGATCGTGTTATTAATGTTAAAATAGTTGTACCTATGATAGTTGAGAAATACATCATAGGGTAAGGGGTTGATTACCAATCAGTGGCATCTGAATAATGGAATTAAAATTATTTGTTCAATTTATTGACAGAATTTCACCGAATTTGAAATCCGTGGTTTACTGCACTGCCATACGGATTGGAGGTCTAACCGAGTGGAATTTTGCTTGGCAAATGTCTCAAGAGACTAATGTTGGCTCTGAGAAGGATCTGCTATTAAATGCGCTCGGCTGCACTCAAGAAACATGGCTTCTTAGTCGATACTTGGAGTGGGCCATTACCGAAAATTCGGGAATCAGAAAGCAGGATGCCGGTCGGGTATTCACTTCGATTTCTAATTATCCTGTTGGCCAATCATTGGCGTTCAACTTCTTCAGGAACAAGTGGACGCGACTCAAAGAATAGTAAGTGGATTTCTTTAATGGCATTACGATGTTATTGAATGATATTATGAATAGTATTATATTATTTTATTATACTGTATAACTATATTGGGTAGACGAAAGCGAATTGGATTATAGGATTGATTCGACCGAAATTTCACATTGTTGTATCTCGAATTAGATTTCTTATTTATTAAAGAAAGAGTTAAAAATTGTCTATCAGTTATTATTATTAATGTTAAATTATGATCACTTTTCTAGTGTCAAAGAGAAAATGATTCGATTCTCATATTTCTTTACATACTTATATATTTATATTATATAATATAATATTCTTTACAATATTGTATAATATTATATTACAAAGCAATTACTTAAATATTTACGATATTTATTTTTTCTAGTTTCGGATCATCTTTATTAACCATCAAAAATATTGTAAAAACAGCTACCAGTGGTATAAATACTAAATATGATCTTAGAGATGTAAGTATGAAAATAATCATATATTACCGTTTAGATTATTTGTGAATATTGAACGCGATGTGCTTCGGAAGTAACTGTGAATTAACTTAATGCTAATTTCAGTGTCAGTACATAATGCTATTAGGCTTTGTAAATTTAGAAATATAAGACAATACAGTATCTTCTATGTTAAAAAGTAATGTCTATTTTGTCGAAATAAAATCTTAGACTTATTAAAATTGTTTATTGTAAAAATGTCACCAGAAAAATATTATTTGAATAAAATTAACTATCTTTTTCATATTTAGCTGTTGGAGTTCACGAACGAGCACAAAGAAGAACTCAGTAGCGTAACAAGGACAGTTCATCAAGCCATCGAACGGTCCGAAGCTAATATTAGATGGGTGGAACGTAATCATGCAACAATCTACGATTGGTTGAAGCGAAACACTGCGTAGTGACGGAAAATTAATAAGAAATATGGAAAGTAGAGACAAAAGAAATATGTCTATAATGTTTAAAGGAACAGCTAGGATGTTCTAGGATAAAAGTTTTAACCGTATTGGACTCGTTCAGTCATCTAAGCATTTTCATAAAAATTATTATTAAGTCAGTTCATAAATCCGTGTACACTTTCATTATTTTATGCAATACAAAACGTGAAACTTTACATTTAAGAATATTGAAATTCACAGTTTCCATAGGTCTTCGTGACTTTTTTTGAGTATTATTACCATGAAAGTATAATTAAAAATATTGTCAAATATATATCTCTTCATTTCGATCGCTTTTATATAGCAATCAAAGTTAACCTAATGAATACCATTATGGTATTTATAATGGATAGCATTTAGATTAACTCTTCTGAATCTTTTGGAATAATTGTTCGCGTTAATTAGTCATTCCTTTTATCGACAAGAGATGTATACCTTTCAATAATCTTTAATGAAGATCTGCTAGAAAAGTTCATGTTCTAATGCAAAGTGTTTATAATACAAAACCTGATGAACAAGCTTGTGGACTGACTTAAGTGTTTATAAACTTTTCGCCAGGCGAGAGGTCTCCGAACTTTACAAAATTATTAAGCGTTTTTGTATGTTTTTGTCGATAAGCGCCGAAGAATCATACACAGGGTATTGCATAATAAGTTCAATTGAATCCAATGGACATTTAAATAGACTAAACCGATACAATTAATTGTTCCAATATTGTGCCAAATTTGTCATGTTTCCAAGCATCACGTTTCAAACTAACAAATAAATAGGATGTCTATTTCTATTGAATTTGAAGGGAAATTATTCACATTATTTTCAAGTGAACAATCTAAATTTATTGCAATCTACTTATTACGAGATATCCTACACGTATAATGAAATATTTAGATATATAGTGGATAGGCAGGATGGGTCGTTAACCCGTTAGTACATGTTGAAACGCACCATATAATTTGAAAGAAAGATATGGGGGTTGATATTATAGTGAATCTCTCGATCGATCTCAAATTGTGTCATTTCACAAGCGAATTATAATTTATACAGAGTGATTCATTAACTGTTGGCATTCGGTTAATTCTGCGAGTACAGTAACTCCCTTGTTCAGCTATGTGAATGTTCCATATTAGAAAGAATTAGTTCCTCATGCTTATCTGTTGCATTTAGATTCGGTACTTTTATATTAACACTAGAACTACCGAGGGTTTTATATGATTAATATGTAATCCTCATAAAAATGAGAGATTTGGGTTTTCACATATATTCGTTATAGTATTCAAGTGAAGCTATTTATTTTTAAAACCATTTCGGATATTTAAACACCTTTAAAGTATTAGTAATTGTGAAATAGAAACACTGAAACCTGTCATCTCGACGGATGTGGTACTTCTAGTGTTAATCATGGCATTTAGTAATAAGTAATATGATAAATGTATTACCTGGTTCTTTGTAAACAATTTCTTTAGTTTTGGTAGTGCAAATCAAGGAAAAAATTGGTGAGTTGAACAGAAATGAAAAGGGTGAAGAACACTGGGTTACTGTATGCATAATGGTTAAAGATAAATTGTTTGAAGAAATGTTGCATTTTCTAAGAGCACAGATGCCTACGTGATATTAGGAATATCCAAAGAAGTAACATAAGTCTAACGTAGACCTAACTCAGGGATGTTACACGCATGTTACAAAATACGCGGATCAAATTGATTCTTCAATAAAGATTTTTATTTAGTATTAATTAATTTCAATGATTAAGATTTATTTTTCAGTTTAAAAATACTGCGATTAGTTGTTATGTGTCATGTTTGTTGATCTATGATTTTCAGTGTTATTAATATTTCTAATTATCTTCGGTTATTAAATATATTTCTTAATTAAGTGTATTATAAAATAACATTGGTTTTTTTAGCAGGTATTTATTACTTACACAAAATAAAATTAATAAGAAATTTGTGTTATAGAATCAATTTGATCTTTGTATCCTTTAAATGCTTCCATTTACAATCGAAATGATGTTACCTTACATTTGCTTTTGAGCATTTCTTTAAACATTTGTTTTTTAATTGTTACAATATATGAAATAATTGATTGCTACACAATTACTGGTTCATTCTATAGTTATAAACTAAACGATTTGATATATTTTTAATTAATGTAATTTTGTACTGTCGATTTCTGTTCAGTTCTATTATTTATTAGTCTCGAATTATAGTTGTTTCGGTGTTTTTGATGACGAGTTCATAATCATCGCGAAACTATTTATAAATTTAACTGATACTTGTTTAGTTGTTTATAATTAATCTATTGAAACGACGTCTAATGAATGTTTACGTGTAATTCAATCATTTTTGTATAATACTTCATGTTAAAAATATACCAAACAATTTTAACAAAAATGTATTTCCTATGGAATTGTTCGATAATCCTTTACAAATTGATTTCATTTCATTTCGGGAACGTTTCAGGAATGAAGATATAAAATTTAAGAGAAAACAATATTTGTTTACAAATTATAAATAGTTCGTTTAAATTCTATATCAACTTTTAGAAACAGAAATTTTAATTAAATTAATTTTTTATATTAACCACTCCGTTCGCGATATTTCTTCAATCAAGCATTTCAGAGATACGTTATCTTATGGATTACTCTCGATATAAAACTTTTCAATAAATTCGAATAACAATTATGATATTTAGATGAATAACATCTTTCCATTCGATTGGCGACAAAAGTGAATGTATTTGCAGAATTTTGATCTGGTATGTTTATAAAATTATACATTATCATACTTTACAATACAAAAATACTGTAATTTTCTACATTATACAATATTAAAATTCTATAAAAAATATATTTGTATTTATAATGACATCTTTCCAGTAGCTCTATATTATTTATGCGTTTGTGCAATACCTATCAACTTAACATGTACGCGAATATTGTAAATATTGTTATCGATACTACACTGAAGGTATTCGGAATAGTTCCACTATTTTTCTCTTCGTTCCACTGTCTACTGGTTAAGTAAGAAGTGATAGTGGGTTCCTTCATCATGTACCAATCGTATTTCTCTTCCGCGGACGCAACAGCTTTGTTAAGTTTGGATGAAATGTTCTTCAGACTTTCTCGCCTAGATTGCATGAATATTTTAATCTGCAAACGAAATAAAATTGTTCATGTTAATATGTATAAAGTACAGCGGTGAATAGAGAGATGCATTCGAGTCGTATTTAAAATGAAACGCCATTAATACTAATTGATCCTATTTCAAAATTTCAAAATTTGGATCTAAAGAATGAATTTTCAATAATAATTATTAATAAGATACTTCTTTTATATTTTTGTTATAAAAATTATACCTAACAAATGCAGCTAATGAGAACTTAATTTCAGCTGGAAATTAATTTTGTTAATGTTTAATTTGTATTATTTGGACATCTATGATTAATGCAAACGTTATAAATAAAATGTATAGAATAAAGTTTAATGTGTATTCAGTTAAATTTATGAAAGCGATATACTGCACTTTTCTTTTGTAATCATATAATTGAATTAATTAATAATCTGTTATATAATCTGCGTATAAAAATTAATATTACAATATTAGGGTAATGACGTTTGTATAATAAAATATCAACTGAAGTACCTTAACCAACTGTTGCACAGTGGAAATACGGGATACTACTTTAGAGAATAAAGTTCCAACACTATCCCATTCGCCATAACTGAAAAAGGTAAGGATAAATATGTATAGTGTATAGTTCTAATTACTGCGAATGGAAAAATTAATGGTAATAACGCAGTTTAACTTCTTTAATACGCTGATATTCTATAAATTATAAATGTTCAAATACTTACTATTTATAAACATTTTCGAAATTATCTATCAAGAAGTCTAACATTACGTCCAATCCTATACGACTAGACTTGTAAATAGACGCCAAAGCTGCGTCGACATCCTGCTTTCGAATATCGGGAGTGAGGGATATATTCAGCGCACGCATGATGTATCTAAAGATA